GTCTATAAGTCCAGCAACTCTGGAGGCTGAGGCAGAGGGGTCATGAAAATGATGGTAGTTTGGGTGTGGTGGAAACTCCTTGTGGAGACACGACTGTCCCTCCTTATGTAGCACGGACAAGTCAAAGTACCATTCTAACCCAAGTCTGATGTGTGGAGCCAATGAGTTTCCTGGGATCACCAACATAGCATGATGAGGGCTATTGACAGGAGTGGGGAGCATGCAAAGCAGCCACAATACTGAAGTCTCACCCCAGCATACATGGAGAGAATGACAACCTCCACACAGTTGCATAGACAGAGTCCCGGCTTCAGTTAGCTTTCCACAGTGTCCTGGCACTTCCCAAGACCATAAGGGCCAGAAACAATCAGGGAAAAATTACATACAGCCATCAGGGAGGTACAGGAGAAAGTGTCTGAGATGAAGTGAGGGGTCCAGGATCCTCCTCACTCCCTCCTTATGTGAATGAGTATCAGCAGTCCTTGTAACAACCAATTCCCTCATGGAGATAGATGACTTGTAAGTAATTGAAGCTACCTTGGTAAAGATGTCTGCTGTTTTGTTTAGAGGACAGCCTTCTACAACATTGGGCTAGGGAATGAGTGTGTGTGTGTGTGTGTGTGTGTGTGTGTGTGTGTGTGTGTGAGACAGAAATATACAAAGAGAGAGGGGTAGAGACAGAAACACGGAGACACACAAAGACATTTTACAGTTGTAACAGTTGGGAAGCTCCTGCCCCCAAGAACACAAGCCCACCCTCATCTGCCTAGTACCCAGATGCACCTGGGCAGCTAGACCGGCCACCCCAGAGAAGCAGGTGAGGTGTGGGGAGCAGGTGTGAGCATCCCCACTCAGTTTCTTCCCTCCTGCAGCACCCTGGCGTTGTTTCTGGCTGATGATTGCTTTATTACTGTTTTCAGTCAGATGTAATTCTAGCATTTTCTATAATCTCGATCTTTTCATTGATACGAGATCTTTATACAAAGAATTTGTATATAGGATGATTAGACACCCACCAGCACACATCCCCAGGCAATTAGAACGTTTGAAATGCAGTGCAGCAATTCACATCCTTCTTTTATTACTTTGGAAAGTGTTTTGTGATTTTTCTTTTTTGGGGGGGTGTGAGGGGTGTGTTTACAAAACTCAACAATTCTCATTTCCAGTTGCAAAACATGAAGCCATTTTGAACGGAGACAGATGGCGGTTAAATGACGTTTAATTAAAGAATGAGCGCGTTGAATCAAACCACTTTACAAAGTGAGGCACGCGTTCAGATTCTTGAGTGCTTGCATAAATAGCATCTGGAAGCCTCTGCAGACGAATCCAGAAAGGTGTCCCAGGGCGATCTGGGAGCTCAGGAAGCAAGGGGCAGGTCTGTGCGGCCTGACCACAGCTCCTAAAGTTCGGGACCCAGAAAGTGGGGTGGGGCTGAGACATGAGACCAGGACAGGGGGAAACAGGTAAATTCTTAGATGAAGTCTAAGTGACACACCTGTAATCCCAGCACTTGGGAGGTGGAAGCAAGAGGATCAAAAGATCTGTTTGCTTCATAATGAGTCTGAGACCAGCCTAGGTAACCCAGGATCCTGTTTCAAACAACAAAGACTGCTTTGAAGGGACACCCTTAATTAATTTTTTGTGGCGTCATTTTTTTTTTTTAATTTTGGAATTTTGCTTCGAGACAGGGTCTCATGTAGCACAAACTGTTTTCCCACTCTTGATCCTCTGCCTTCTCCACTATTGGGGTTACAGATGTGTCTCATCCACTATGCCCAGTTCTACGCAGCGCTAGGATGGAATCCAGGGCCTGCTGCGTGCTAGGCAAGCCATCGGAGCTACATTCTCCCAGCCCGCTTTGTTTTGAGACAGGGTCTCCAAGCCCAGGCCCACCGAAGCGCAGGGATATGCTGAGGGAATGTGCCGCTTTGTGTTGCTCACAGCCTTCGGATCTGGTTTCCCAGTGCCAGCCCCATCCAGGGGCCCCGCCCCAACCGCGGACTCTGATCTGGTTGCCTTGGGCCATGGTGGGGACGCTTAGACCACAGACAGGCGCCAGTGGCTGCTCCCAGAGTAAGGGCGCCAGGTACCCAAGGCCATATCTAGACCAAAGCTGGGTTCCAGCCCCGGATAAAGGGTGGCTTGTGAGGTTGAGCTACAAGACTGACTGGGGGAGGAGAGGGGAGCGCTGGAAGAGCGTGCCAAGAAGTTAGCGCTTAGTGTTTAAGAGGGAGAAAAATCCTGGGGCTGTTGTCCGTTTTGAAATGTGGGGGATGAAAGCCAGGCTTCGTGTGTTATGTAGGTGTCCCACCGCTGAGCAGCCTCTCACGGGATGGCGGCGGCATCGAGGGTGGGTGGGTGGTCTGTGGGTGAAGTCTGATCTAAGAGATTTATTTGAGACAGGGTATCTCTATGTAGTCTTGGCAGGCCTCAGACTCACTATGTAGCTCAGTCTGGCCTCAAATTCCCAGAGATTTTTGCCTGTCCCCGTCTCTG